ATTTTTTTTTTTTTTTTAGTTAAATTTTTATATTACAATAGTGATAAACTTATCTTAAATTTAGATTAACAGCATTTTTTTTTTTACTTTTCTTTTTTAAAAATTCAATATTTATATTACAATAATGATTAACTTAACTTAAATTTTGATTAAAAAAGTTTTTTTTTTGTTAATTTTTTTTTTTTTTTTAGTTAAATTTTTATATTACAATAATGATAAACTTATCTTAAATTTAGATTAACAGTATTTTTTTTTGTTTTTTTGGCCTCTTTTCTTTGGAGACGGTCATTGAATATACACCCGATCCACACATATAGTCGTAGCACATATGCGTGTGCACCAAACAAATAAACGAGACGAAATGTTAACATATAATGGCTTTTGGACTGGCCCGATTTCCAAACCAATTTTTTACCTCTCCTTTTCACGTCCAAATGCACCATCAAACCTCACACTTCTAGAAAAGACCATAGTTCACTTAACAAAAAAAAGATCAGCTACCGTGCGGCTCCAAAGAAGCAACGAGCTGCTGCTCTTGCTATGTGGTTACCGACGATCGTAGCTCTGCAACATTTCTACACTCGCAATTCGACTGTCTTGTCTTCAGCCACCGTACGGCTCCAAATATAACTTGAGTTTCTACTCTATGCAGTTGGTTACCGACGAATGTGGCCCTGTAGTATTATGAATCTTCTAATCTAACAGTCGAATTGCTAGCTACCACACGAGACTTCCAAGGTCAAAGAGATCGTTCTCTTGCCACGTTAAGGAAGACCGTATGTAGCTCTGTTCCCCACCCCCCAAGAAAAAGAACCTCACACTTCAGGACGTAAAAACCTCACAATTCCAAATCAAATCAAACTACCACAGATAAGACCGCAATTCACCAAACATACGAAATGCTACCGTGCGGCTCCAAATAAGCAATCAGTTGCTTCTCTTGACAGGTGGTTACCGACGGTTGTAGCTCTCTATTATCACAAACCTTGCAATTCGAATATTGAATTGTTAACTACCACACGGGATATAAATTGTCATACATTTTTTTTTTTTTTTTTTTTATCATATGTACAACATCGTGTGTAGCTCTTACCCACCCCCCACGAATGAACCTCACCCTTTAAACACAACCAGATTTTCCGCGACTTATGAACACTCACCATTCACATAAATCCACTAACAGGCCAGTCTTTACCGATCGGTACCTTTGCTCAAACTTCTATCACTTCCAAAAAGTACTTTTCTCTCCCTCGTACTTATACACCACCAATTGTAGTCCTACACTCTCCAAAACCTCACACTTCCAGACAAGACCTCTTTTCACAAAACAAAAGAATAGCTACTGTGCGGTATTTACCGACATTCGTAGCTCTGTATCATCCCTAACGTCGCAATTCGACTTCCAAATCTTCAGCTACCGTACGGCTCCAAGTATAAATTGAGTTTTTACTCAGTGCAGTTGGTTACCGACGACTGTAGCTCTGTAGAATCAAAAACCTTCAAAAGGTTGTAAATGTCGAATTGCTAGCTACCACACAGGACGTATATGGACAAAGAGGTCGTACTCTTGTCACGTCATGAACACCGTGTGTAGCTCTATCCCCTACCACCGAAAAAAAGAACCTCACACTTCAGAATACAAAAACTGTAACTCTCTAGAACTCAGACCTCGAAAACTCGCTACCAGGTTCTCCTTCATCTTACTCTTTCAAAAAAGTCATTATAAACATTAATTTCTCGTCTCGCGCGTTGGTCCACTGATTTCAAGTGGTACAGTCATATGCTCGATCGGGTATCGCACAAACTATGACTCGAATCCAAACTATAAGGGTTACAATAATTTCAATTTCAATATTTTTTATAACGCCCTACCTTGAAGCTCTTCAAAACTATACTGAAATCGTTCACTTCCTGTCACTGGTATCTGCTACGAGTAGTTCGTAATGTATTGATTGCTCATTTTTATATTTTGGTTTCATTAGGAATTAAAGACTAAATATCTGTCGGCTGTAAAATATAACATTTAATTACTATTTTATAGAATATAATTGATATTGAATAATAAAGTATATATTACTAGTCTTATTTTTCTTCGCCTTTCTCCCAACCATTTTGGGTCGGCCACCCTCGTCTTTTTTGGTCTATCTCTTCCTCTTTTTCCTTCAATATTCACTTTCATAACAACTCTTACTGAATTTGTTTTCTCTTGTCTCATCACACAGTATATATCACTAGAAATAGTTATATTATTGCTATTGTTACGGTATTGTTTTTATTTTCTTTCGAGTCAGTCCTATGATGATATTAAATGGTTTTCGTTTAACACTGTTAAATTATTCTACCTACTTATTAAAATAAATATACATCTAATTGAAATAAAAATTAAATTAGTATTATAATTTAAATTATTCATTATTTAAATAAAAATAAAAATTGAATAAATTATAATTGATTTAGGCTAGATCATAATATTATTTAAATTATAGAAAATATTTATTTGTTTTATTATTGCTAGATTTAAAAATGTAATGATAAAAATAAATAAATTTAAAGTTCGAGTTGAAATTAAAACATTTAAATACTGAAAAAATTAAAAATAGGAATCCTTATGCCTGGACTTTATTTGATGCTTGTGCAATCAAATACATGATTTACTTACTAAAGAACAATAATATAATTAAAATTACAATTTTGAGTGTTAAAAAAATGAAAAATGAATGAGGGGCTTATTAATTAGACTAACTAAAAGAACTAACATTGATTGGTTAATTTAAAATCCTATATACATAACAAATAGTGCTTTAATATTGATAGCTATGAGTATAATAATGTAATATTTATAATATTTTTAGTTATAGAAACATTAATTTAATTGATTTTGTTATGGATACTTAATAAGCAATACAACTTATAGTTATTATTGAAAGGATGTACAGAATATAGCCTTTATATAGCCGAAATAATTTACATTATGGTAATTTAGAAAAGTTAGTCCTCTAAAGTTTTTGATAAAATAGTGTAATATTTTAATTGAAATGTTTCTTGACCATATCTGCTTAGGAAGTCCAGTACCACCTATGTCTCAATAAACAGTTATTGTGTAGAGTACTTATCACAAGAGTAGATAGTTTTGCTTTAACAGAATAAACATTTATTTTATTTTTTATTTTTATATGAAATTTACAATTTATAATTAATATAATAAGTAAATGTGATATAAAATTAAGTATAATAATCATTGACATTGAAAAATATTATATCCAATTATTTAACGTTAGAATAACCAATAATATAAGTATTAAACCTGTATATTATAGTTTATTCTTATGATAGATTATTTAGTATTTGATATATATTAATTGGTGATTATTACATATTAAGCAATAAAAGACTGTTAAAAGACTGCAGAGTTATAATAATGTTGGAGGCCCAAGTAAATGTTACTGAGTACTAGCTGGTTACAAGAGGAAGAAATTTATTATGCTTTATACCATGATGAAATAGTCAAAATGATTCACCAGTATTTAAAATATATTAATTGTATGTTTAGTTGTGTTGGTACCAGTGGCGCATAAAAGTATTTTGAGAGCACTTGCACCTAAAAAAAGTTACCCACCTACCCACCAATTTTTTTTTTTCTTAAAAATGTTCGTTTAAATTGTTGTATGTAACTGCAATTAACTCTTAAAATAACTATTAATTTAAGAGATTAAGATTTATTATAATTTATTAAAATTAAGATGTCTACACCCAGTGCCTTATAGGTATAATTTTTGTGTTATAATAATAATGTTATTTGTTTACCATGCTCTACAATGTTTGGTATTCAAGTTGTCCAATTATATACTCACCAACCCACCCATACACTCACCACCGACGAGAGCACATGCAATTGCACCCCTTGGTAACCTGCCTGGATGCTACTAGTTGGTACTGTATAATATTATTTTACTTTTATGATGTAAATTACAGTTTGCGACAAACATAAATAAACACTATATATTAGTTCGAGTAATATTTTTCTGAAGGACATTACTTTTTGTAAAGAAAAGTAGATTGCGTGAGGTTTATACTCGTAAGTTCAATTCATAATAGAGCTCTTAAAACACGTGTCACGGAATTCACGTGTACACGTGAAATACATGTTTACCCAAAATATATATCTATTTTTAAAATGGTAAAATTAGTAATTTTATGTTATACACTTGAAGTTTTAATAAAATATTAATAGTACAGTATTAAGTTAAGGATATACGTTTTTATTTTGGATTTTACACGTGACACGTGACACGTGAATTCCGTGAATTCACGTATATTAAGAGCTCTAATTTATAAGTGCATCTAATATTTTACTATTTATATTTGTACGATTAACTGATTTTTTTATAAATTTTAAAATTAAGTGAAAAAAATTACTTTCTATTCTTAATTTTGCATAATAAATAAATACATATTATATACAATATGCGCAAGAAATGTAAAGGTAGTAATAATTTTAGATATATGCAAATAATTTTAGACTCCTAACATTTTCAATGGATACCCGTTTATGATGTTCTGTACTTATTTCCTACATACTATTATGTTCTATAAATATTACAATTCATGAAGTAATCTAATAACTAACTTAAGTGTACATACATTTCTATTTTGGATGAAAGATACAGAGTCAAATCCTAAGTATAAGGTAAAACATAATAATAATAATGTTGATTTTCATACTTTTATTTTATATCTATTTAAAATCGATATTAGAATGTTTTTTTTAAGAAAGTATCATTATCTAAATGTATCTGGTCAATGAGTTCCGTTACCAATGAAATTACTTTTATATGACTTAAGAATCATATATAGTTGCAATAACATACCCTAAAATCACTAAATAAATAAACACAAGAATAAGTACTATCAAATTTCTCATGAAATATAAATACAGTGAATATCAATATATCATTTATTATAGTAAAGTATTAAATTACCGATTTCCAAAAATTTTAAAATAATAATTCAAGAATAAAAAAAGATGAAAATTTAAGAAACCGGTTTTAAAAAATAAAAATAAATATTAACTCTTTAATTTTTTTTTATATATTTTATCTAACAATTAAATGAAAAATAATCATTTATACAAATTAATTACATGCTATACTTTAAATAATAAAAACATTTTTTTTTTATAGGTTACAAATTAGGTGTTTACATTTTATACTTAATTGATATATACAACGTTTTATTATTCAATAATGACGAAAAAAAATAAATAAAAGCAATAATAATTTATAAGCTATATTTTACTAAATATGCAACAAAGAGTTTATTCATTTTCCTTGTTTTGGCCAATCAAAATAGATATAATTAAAAGAAAAAAAAATAGTGTTTTAGTAAATAAAATAGTAGGAACCTATTATATAAATGAGTATTTTTATATATTTAAATATATACATAATTAAAATAATCATATAAATCCATTAGTTTAGTTATTTTTCAGTTAAACAGTTAAAAAAAAAAAAAAAATAAATAAATAAAATATAAATACATAATTTATATTTAAAAGCCTTTTTAATTATTATATATAATATATATATTATATATATTTTATATAATATAATTAATTAATATTTACTTATTAACTAACTAGTAATTTTGTATTCTCCTAACCTTTTCTCCTTTTTTTTATTTCGTGGCCTAGATAAATATCCTTGCAATATTTTTGATTGATTTAGTTTCTCGTATATGTACATTTATTTGTTCATTAATCTTATTGTCCACATTTGTACGATAATCTTATTTTCCACGATTGATTCAAGTGGATCGATTAAAGCGAAATGGATTACAATGTATGTACTAATTATAATATAATATTATACTGGTTACAGTATTAGGTACTGATTATATTTAAATAAGGAATGTAATTATTTTGTCATACAAATTTCTAATCTATTTTTGAAGTATTAAGATATTTATTGTATGTAAAACTTGTTGAAAGTACAGTATATGTATTTGTAAATCGGAACATATATGTAATACCCATTAGTTATATAGAATATTTGAAATTTTTCCTTTATTAACAAACATTTTTGTAAGCTTTTTACTTAACGAAATAAATTTATTCAAAAGGTAATTTTTTCTGTCCATAAAATTTTTTTCATTATTGCTAGATAAATTATAATGTATTTAATATATTACAATGTTTAGAGTATATAACTTTTATTATAATTAAATATTTTTATAGTAGTATAGTTCTGTAGTTTTTCTTTTACAGCTTTTAACAATATGTTAGAGCTACTTTGTTACTTAGCCACTTTGTTCGAGGCAAATTATTACATTCATCCTTTATCATATTTTGTTGTGGATGATAATTATAATATTGCATTTTAGTTCCTTGGTTTTTCAAATTTTTTAATTTCTTAAAAGAAGTTATAGGTTCTATTCATAACATATAATAGTAACCAAGTATGTAGTTCATTGTCATGATAACAAACCTATTTGGTAGATAGAATCTTAATAATATTTCTGTAATAACAATTAATTTGTTCTTGGTATCTTTATAATAGTACAATTATTTTATCTGCACTGGCAATAATAATATTTCATAAATTCAACTTTATTTAAATTTATGTTGCTATATCTAATTGAATTTTGACAATCTATGTTTGGAGACCAATGCATTTCTTTATTTTAAATATAGACATTATCTTAAACTGGTGATATTTTTTATCGAAAACAAACTGCCATAATGTTGAGAGCTGCTTGTCTCAATAATTTCATTTGGTCTACCCAGTATTTTTTAAAAAAAATTAGTACTTATATTTATATATCTAATATTTATTTACATTGCTGTAATACTTGCAGTCAAAGATTTTTTTTTCTATGCTGTTAATATGATATATTGGCACTTTCATCTCATTAAACTATACTAAAATTAACATTAACATTAGCATTTAATTCTAATCTTCTCAACATTTTTGGTAACCTCAGTTTATCTAAATTTGTATTAAAATTTAATAGTGCTTTTACAGACGCTGGTGGTCGCACTTTTTTTTTATTTAAACGCTATATGACCACCCGCTATTTTAACACTTATTTTTAAATCCAAATATTTTACGTGGCATTAAACTAATAATGATTATTTTTGATGGTGACGTAAATATGAAAATTTCGAATCGATTGATACATTGTTTACCTTTAAAAGATTTTTCATACTTTTAAATATTTTTCTTTTATTGTTCTATAAATTTACCTTTATGCATTCAAGGAATAATATTAAAATTATAGCGTGACCTAGTGGGGAAAACAATAAAATGACTGCGAGCGGTCAGTCAACGTGTTAATAATTTTTGTTCTAAGCTTGTTTTTGATGACTAAGGTGGTTCTGAATTTATATTAGAGCTTTTTATTTTATATTTTTTTTTTATTGTGTATTGAAAGACTATTTCACTTTGTAATAGCATAACAATTTAATAATACATGGTCTACAAACTTCCTATATTATATGAACATAGTTGCTGGTTGTGATAAGGCCTTTAGTATTTTTATTTTTTAGTCATATTGTAACTTATATCTGATTTTAGATTCTATTCAATTATTCATATTTTTATTATATAATAATTTAAATACAATTTATTATTTGGAGTATTGATGAAGATGACATTAAAAACTTACGTTTAGCTACTCTTATGTCTAGTAAGAGAAAATCCAATGTAAAAATTAATACATTAAGAAGTATATCCGGAGAAATTTGTTAAAGAAAATTCGCCACTACTTCATCGGGCCCTGCTGCTTTCCTTGGTTTGGCACTTTTAAATATATTTCTTCCATTATATCAAATCCTTCATCCATTTTGATGCTACTTTATTATACAAATATTGTAATTTTAATAAAAGTTCAAAACTATTATATAATATAATAAATTGTAGATGTTCTCTTATAGATGTAATTCTGTATGTAAGCAATAATCATATATTTTATTGAATATTTAAGAATAATATTATACTTATCTATATTCAGATGATGGTGATACTTTATCCCTAGGGGAAAACGATGAAGATGTGGCCGAACTTAACAAATTAATGGATATGATGGAAGCTGAAGTTAATGACAAAGATGTTGAAACGTTAAAAAAAAATAATAAAAGTATAAAAAATTATACTGATTACACTGTGAAAGTTGAGGAATCAAATGTTATAAATCCTTCAAAGACTGTTAAAAATGTAACATCTCTAATTAATCCACCCAAAGAAGAAGTAGAATCAATTGAAACTTTAGAGGAAATAAGAGACTCTCTCGCACAATGCATTCAAATAAATTCTAGTGTTCCCTTAAAATCACGATCACCATTTAAAAAAAAGAAGTTAAAATTTCCTTACAGTAAACTTCGAAAAAGTTCACCATCAAGATTGCCCAAAAGATTATCACCTTTAAGGAAAAAAAATCTTTCTCCGAGGAGATACTCTCCTCTAAATGATGAATCTTTGAAAGAAAAAGAAAAAGTCAAACCTGTTTATGAGCAAATAGAATCTAGGTCAATAGATCCTGTTTCATAAATCAGAAAAAGAAAATTTGAGTCCAACAAGTTGATTGCACCACCAAGCAAAAAAATTCAAAACCAAAAGGATTTGAAAGTAATAAAATTACAAAGATATGTTAAATTAAATAATTTTCCAGAGAAAATGAATGACAAAAAAAGACCAAGAATTGTGTTTTGGTATGATGATATTAATGATTTGCTCATGGATCAAGGTGTGTAGCTATATTTTTATAAATATTAGTTATTTATAATATTTATATTATTATTGTTGGTAATATTGTATTAATTTTTTATTTTTAGGTAATAGATTTCATTATTACAGAGAAAAAAAAAGAAAACAACGATAGTAGAACCTGAAACTTTAAAAGTATATAGTGCATCAGTAGAAGAGATGTTCTAAGAGAATGAGGAAGATGGAAGTGAAAAAAATTTGTGATCTGATTTCTAATTTATTGAACTTTAAATTTAATGTTTTTATTATTTTTTGATTGAAACCTTCAATAAATAAAAATTATAATTACAACTATTGGCTTATTAATAATTTTGAATATTTATGATTTATTTTACTGTCTAATATATTTTAAGATCTAACGATCTTCTAATATTTTTGATTTTATTACTATCGTATTAAACATACTGTGCCTAGTTATAAGAAAAGCTTATCCAATATATTTTATACTGTTTTCTTTTCACTTTTTTTATAAATTCTAAAATATGGAAATAATTTGTCAACAAATCACTTGTTATGAAACAATGTTTTATTTTATAAATGTGTATTTTTATATGTGGATTCCTAAATTATAATTACTAATTTTATAAATAATAACGCAAAATAAACATATCAACTATTAATTCAAACTTTAATGTAAACATATTTTAATGAATGAATACTTGTATATTATTTTTATTAGGACCGTCTTGACTTTGAATTTTGTTTTTGATCAAACAATTAAATATATTTAATCACTTACAATGTGCCTAATGGGTATGTTAATAGTTTATATTTAGTATTACTGGTTTAATTATATCTGGTATAGAAAGTTCATAAAATGACATTCAGTATTGCCTCACTAAAATTAAATTGGGGGAAGGAGGCGAAAATAATTTCTTCTACCCACCACCTATTTTATCATAAAAAAAATAGTGTATTCAAAGATAAAGTTAACACGAAATATTTCCAACGCATTACATTTATTTAATCCTGGTTTTTTTTTTATCTGTAAAAGGACTTGAATTTACACTTATTTTCGAAAAATTCAAATTATTAACATTTTGCTCCGTCTATACGCAGTAATCAATGGTGAATGTTGGGAAGTATGGTGGTAGCCTGTACGCGGCCCTCCCTACATGCGCTTGTAGATTTCCTGAAGACCCTTGTGTACGAAGACAGACTACGAGCGTATCTAATACCACCACCAAGGCGCTGATACCCAGCAACAGACACAGTAATATGCAGCCTTTAAACGGCCCTTTCCAGGGTCATTCAACGCAGATATTAGGCCCATGTCTTAAGGTATGTCACCTAAATATTGAAGGAATTTCGTCAGCTAAGATTGAAATTCTATCTAAACTTATGAGAGAGGAAAAAGTTGATGTTATTGCACTCCAGGAAACGCATACATTAGATGAAGCCGACCTCCACAAAAGAGGACAAATAGCTGGTTACAATTTGATTGGAGCCATACACCATAAACAGTACGAAGTTGCAACCTACCTTAACTCACGCATCAGCCATGCGAGAGCAATAGCTCAAGAGATAGTGGAAGAGGTATTTATCCTGACAGTAAACGTGAGTGGAGTAAATATAGTAAATGTGTATAAACCACACAATACATTATGGAATAACCCACCATTGCGTGTTCTAGATCATCCAACAATGTATATTGGTGACTTTAATAGCCATAGCTTACATTGGGGCTACGATGATGACGATGATAACGGAGTAATACTATTTGACTGGCTTTCCACAAATAACATGGAGTTAGTATATAGCGCTAAGGATAAGGGGATTTTCCATTCAGCCAGATGAGGCAATCACTATTCACCGGATTTGGGAATTATCTCGGGATTGTCTTTAAACGACAACACTATGTGCACCCGAAAAGTACTGAATGACTTCCCACATAGCCAACACCACCCAGTGCTCTTGGAATATGGTCTCCAAATCCCAACAGTGCACTCCATCTCGAAACCAAAGTGGAATTTCCAAAAGGCTGATTGGGACGCATTTGCTAAATAATTAGACCACATAGTGCAATATATTTCTCCAGTTTCCATCAACTATGAGCGCTTCGTTAAGACTATTAAGTTAGTAGCAAAGAAACATATTCCCTGGGGTTTTTGAAAATCATATGTCCCAACTTAGGTGTTAGAGTGTAGCGACCTATTTGAAGAATTCTAGATATCAATTGAGCAAAGTATTGCGGACGAGCTAATAAGAACATTGAACATAAATAGACGCAAAAAGTGGCAAGAAACTACTGCTAACTTAAACTTCACACACTCCAGCAGGAAAGCATGGAACTTAGTAAAGAGGCTAGGTGCGGAGACCTCAAAGACAAATTTATCTGACAAAGTAAGTCCTAACGATGTCGCAACTAGATTAATGAGAGTGGCCAAGACCAAAATGGACAAAGAACAAAAAACAGACATTAAGAAACGCTTACGGTCAAAAAAGAAGGAGATAGTAACAAGTGCAATCTACAGCTCAGATTTCTCAACAGACGAGATTAGAATGGTACTTAAAGAAATAAAACTGAATAAAGCAGCTGGATTTGATGGTGTATATTCGGAATTTTTTAAGCATAGTGGCCATAAAACGCAAGCATGGCTAGCTGCTTTTTGTAGTGACATCTTGGACACGGCGACTTTGCCGAATTTATTCAAAAAGACTAAAATCATTGCAATCCTTAAGCCAGGGAAAATGAGTACTGATGCAACACACTATCACCCGATCTCGCTACTAAGTACTACATATAAAATTCTTGAGAGACTGATTCTTAACCGAATCCAGCCAGAAATTGAAAAAATATTACCAATAGAACAGGCAGGATTCCAGACAAACCGTAGTTGTGCTGAACAAGTCCTTGCGCTAACTACCCTGATTGAAAAAGGTTTTCAAAACAATCTAAAAACAAATGTAGCATTCATTGACCTTACAGCAGCGTATGACACAGTGTGGAGACATGGACTATTATACAAGCTGGCTAACGTAATTCCCTGCAAAAAGATATTGACACTTATTGACACTTGTAGAAAACATGTTAACCAATCGCAGATTCCAAGTTTTCATGGGAGAAAAAAAGAGCAGGTGGAGAATATCTAACGATGGACTGCCGCAAGGCTCAGTGTTAGCACCTACGTTATTCAACCTTTATATCCATGACATACCCATTACTTCCAGTTTTAAATTTCAATATGCAGATGACATAGCTTTGGCTTACCAGTGCAAGGACATGGGTGCAGGGAGCAAAATGTTCACCAATGAGCGATTATTTTTATAAGTGGAGATTAAATCCCAACTCGTTCAAGACAGAAGTATGCGCTTTCCATCTCTATAACAGACAAGCGGATCGTGAGCTTCAGGGTTAGTGTTTAACAACATGATAATAAAATACAACCTCTCTCCTAAGTATCTAGGAGTAACTTTGGATCGCTCTCTAACTTTTAAGGAACATTTAGAAAACTTACAGAAGAAGGTAAGATTAAGGATAAATCTTTTACATAAATTAGCTGGGACAGGATGGGGGTCAGATGCACATACACTGAGAATTGCATCCCTAGCACTAGTGTATTCTACAGCTGAATATTGTTCAGGTGCTTGGCTTAATAGCAAACACGTCAAAAAGATTGATGACAATTAAATAGTGTCATGCGAGTCATTAGTGAAACGTTAAAGTCAACTCCTTTAGGATAGCTCCCAGTCCTGTCAAATATCTCTCCTCCCGATATTAGAAGAAAGCAAGCTCTGGTTAGATTAATTGTAAAACAGGATCCGCTAAACAATTCTATGTTATCACAAATGCTGTGCAACACCCCACAAATACGTCTGAAATCTAGAAAACCTCCTTGGATCGCTGGTCAACACCTTATTCTGACCAACTTTAATTCAACCACGGAATGGCGTACTGCATGGAATAATCTTTCACTCGAGAATGCTGACTTAGTCGTTAACCCTACACAACTTCTGGAGGGTTTCAAACTACCCCGTCAAGAGTGGGTATCTTTAAACCGTATCAGAATCGGTCATGGAAGGTGTGGTTATTCTATGCACCAGTGGAAGCTTCGAGATAATCCTGCTTGCGATTGTGGAAATGCGGCTCAGACAATACAACACATCGTGTCAAACTCTTCTAAAAGAAAATTCGAAGGTAAAATGAGTGATTTCTTTAGACTAACAAGTGAAGCTCTTGATTGGATAGCTACCTTGGATATCAGACTGTAGAGAAAATATTGAACTACACGATAGGTATTGTTATATAACCTATTATTATCATTTTTATATGGACTATTTTTTTTTATATGGATTATTTTATTTTATTCTATTATTTTTTTTATTTTTTTTTATTCCATGTTACAACTTTTTATGAATATTATGTGTCAAATATGCCATACAATAAATAAATAAAATAAATGGCGAATGCTAACTCTGATGTACGGGCATGCTCATTTGTCATAATGTTTTATAGTTATATTTAAATTATAATTAATAAATGGTACACAAATTTGTATTAATTTATTAATAAGACTTTAATAATATTTAACTAACTAAACAATATTAAAAAATAGGACAATAAAACAAAGTGAAGAAAAATTGTCGTATTCTCGTACACTTAAATTTTATAAATTACTATATTGATGAAGTGCAACAGAATGAGCATGCCTTGGGTATTAAATACCGCGGCTGCTAGTAGAGGTGATCTCGGAATAACTGGTATTTTACAGCGGTAACAAGCGTTGTATAGCTTGCGCACACATCTATCGCATGCTCTGTTATTAAATGTTACAAGGTATAACAGAATTATATTACATTATTGTAATACATAATGTTCTTTTAAATATGTAATATATTATTGATTACAAAATAATTTTTGTATTTTGATTAATAACGTTTTTATACATTAGTATGCGGCGCATGCTGAACATGCCTGGGGAGTTCGCCACTGTATAAGATACAATTTATTATTTAACATAGGTAGGTTATTATTAATTATTTATTTATTAATATATTATAATACATTTATTTATTTATATTAAATATTCAAAATTAAAATCAAATTATTTAGGTATTTTTCATATTATTAAGAATCTTCGGTAGAGTTTATATGCTTTTTTCAATTTTAAGTGCATAATAAACACTTAAAAGCTTCTTTGACCTTTCTCTTTCTAGTCTGTTTCGTAAGGAATTGTGGGCA